CCAGCGCGCGAGCGAGCGAGCGAGCCCCGCGCGGCGTCCCAGCGCGCTGCCCGTTTACGTTACTCTCGACCGAACGTTTTTTTCAATCTCGGCGCGGACGTTTCCGATTGCGTGCCTCGTCGCGAGGTGAGATCGAAGAAGGAGAAAAACGAAACGGGACATCTCTCGCGACACGGCGAGGCGCCGGCGTCGTCCAACTCGGCGCGAGACGGGACGACGCCGCGTCCACGAGCGGGATTCGCGCGCGGGACGAACGGGAGATTCTCGATCGCGCCGCGGGATTCACGTTTCGGCGCCTCGCGTCCGCGAAAACGGCACTCCGTCGGCGAAAACGCGCGATCGTGGGAATCTTATCGAGCGCGCCGGAACTCTTCTGCGTCCACGCGTCCCGCGATCCCCGTAGCTCGGGTACGCGCGGCGACCGGCGACGACGACGGCGACGCCTCGGGGAGCGTGACGGGACGAGATGCGCGCGGTTCGTTCGGTTTTCAAGCCGAGCTCTCGAGCGCTCTCGTGGCGCGCGAGAAGAAGGGGTTCTCGCGTTTTTTTCTTTTCCGTACGATCGCTTTTCCTCGCGGTGCGAGCGTGTCTCGCGCGAATCGTTCCCCACCCCACGACGACGCGCGACGCGGCTCGTCGCGAGAGAAGGAAGACCGTACGCGACAAACGTCGTTGAAATAAACATGAAAAAACGAACGCGGTGGAACGACGGAACGCCGTCCGTGCCTCCGATCTCGCGAAGAGATCTCTTTGCGACGATCGCGACGCGGAAGCGAGCGAGCCCCGCGCGGCGTCCCGAGCGCTACCGTGTCTACGCTACTTTCTCTCGAACGAACGGTGGAGTCCGAGCGGCCCGCGCTCGACCCCGTCGACGCTCGAATATTTTCGAAAAAAACAAAACGAACGGTAGAGAACGCGCGCGCGTAGCGCTCGCACTCTCGATCGCGACACCGTGGAAACGAAGAACAATCGAACGTCGCGTTTCCACGATCGCCGCGATCGGCGCGCGCGGGTAGCTCGCTCGGTCGGTCGCTCGCTCCTCGCTCGCTCCCTCCCTCGCCCAAACGCGCCCAGGGCGGCCGCGCGATCGCGCGTCGGCGCGACGCTGCGCGGCGATCGCTCACGCCGATCGCGAGGCTCCATCTACGTTTCGTGTCTCGTCCGAGGTATCCGGCATTTTCGTCTCTATTTTTTTTCGCGGTCCCGCGCGCTCCCCGTCGACGCTCGTGTACCTCCGAAATGAGAAAACGTACGAACGGTGCGGAGTCGCGGAACCAGCGCGC